CTCATTGGTTAGAGCTTTGCTTTGTTTGCTGGTCTGATTTTGGTTTTGTTTTCCCAGAAAGGAAGGGAGAGGGAGAGAGAAATAGAAACGTCAATGATGAGAGAGAATCATTGATCTGCTGCCTCCTGGACGCTCTACCAGTAGGTCCCGTTCGATTCCCGGTCAGGGCACAGGCCCGGGTTGGGGGCTCGATCCCCAGTGTGGGGTGTGCAGGAGGCAGCCGATCCATGATTCTCCCTCATTATTGATGCATCTATCTCTCCCGCTCCCTCCCTCTCTGAAATCAATAAAACATATTTAACAAATAAAACAAGGAGGGCAGGACTTTTCCTGAAAGAGGAAGGTTGGTCTGAAAGGGGACCAGACATTGCCGCCCCTCCCCTGCCGGCGGGGAGAGCGGTTTAACTTTCAGAAGGAGGCCTCTGCCTGCCAAGCCCGGCTGCGGGTCTGCAGGCGGAGGCGGGACTCACGGTGGCGTTTCTAGGACAAGCCGCTGCCTCCGCTGCTTCTCGGGCCGCCTCTCTCATTGCGGGGAGCCCCCTGCGGGGGGTGAGGGCCGGCACATGGGCTGAGGTCAGCGAGGATGCTCCGTGGACGGGCCACATGGGGCTGCCCTGCCCTCAGGCCCGTGTCAGTGCCTGGAGAGGAGACGGTCACAGGTCAGTGGGATCGGAGTGTGTCCAGCCCCCAGCCCAGGTCAGCAGGTCGCAGCCGCCCCGGTGTGACAGAGGACGGACATTCCAGCACCGACGCAGTCTGGGCTGGAAACGTGACTGTCCTCAGAAGTGACCCTTCAGGAGCCAGAGCCCGTGTTCCTGCTGCGCGTGCACCAGGCTCGGGGTGCAGGTGACGGACGCGCCGGGACGGCCTGTGACACAGGCTTCATGGGCTTGGGGGTCGGGGCGGATCGGCCTGGGCACAGAGGTCAGGGGCCAGGGCAGTAGTCAGAGATCTGTTTCCATTCATCCGCTTCGGGTGTAGGCTTCGTGCTCAGCGGTCCCGGCAGCTCCGAGGTCTCCTAGCCACGCCCAACAGGCAAGCCCCGCCTGCATCCCCGCCCAAATCCCAGGGCTGCTTCTCATTGGCCCAACTTGGCTCATGTGGTCTCCAGGAACCAATCACTGTGACCTGGTTGATGAGGCTTAGACAGGTGTCAATGGTGGAGTCAGAACAGGGAGGGGTGGGGGCCAGAGAGAACAACTGGGGAGCCCCCCAGGAGAGGGAATTGGAGTCCTAGCAGGTGTGGCTCAGTGGATAGGGCGTCAGCCTGTGGGCTGAAGGATCCCGGGTTCGATTCGGGTCAGGGCACAGGCCCGGGTTGCAGGCTCCATCCCAGTGTGGGGCGTGCAGGAGGCAGCCAATCCAAGATGCTCTCTCATCATTGATGTTTCTCTCTCTCCCTTCCTCTCTGAAATCACAAACATGTATTTAAAATCGTTTTCCAGCCTTGGCCAGCGGCTCAATGGTTAGAGCATGGCGCCCTCTCCTCCCCCAACGAAGGTTGCAGGTGGGCACGTACCTGGGTTGCAGGTTCCATCCCTCCCTCACATCAATGTCTCTCTCTTTCCCTCCTCCTCCCCTCTCCCCTCGCCCCTCTCCCCTCTCCCCTCCCCTCTCCCTTCCACTCTCTGAAAATCAATGGAAAGAAAATATCCTTGGGTCAAGTTCGGCCCCAAAACTAAGTTTTAACCTCCTGCTCTGCAGGTTCGGGGGGTGCGCAGCGCTTCCCAGGAACCCCTGGGGCTGGGTGACGCCCCTCTCTGCTTAGATACCCGGGTCGCTGGCCGCACCTCCTGGAAGAGGTGCAGGAAGGGCGGGGCCCGGGAGCGAGCGTGGGTGTGGACTCTCGCGCCACCTGCCGACCACACGGGCGCATTGCAGTTCTCACAGCCGCCCGTGCAGGGACCAGCTCAGGAGAACCGATCCGGGAAAATTAAACTCTTCAAGGCGCCTTCAAACGACCATTTTACTGGCTTTTCCTGTTTCCAGAGCGGGGCCCCGAGATGCGAGACGACAGCAAGGCCCAACACCCCGGCACCCCGGCACCCCTGGCTGCAAACCGCCGCCCCATCGGCGGCTTTCCCAGCGCCCCCTGCGCAGCTTTAAGGCAAGTGTCGGACGTTGGGCTTTGGGGTCTGGGACTTGGCCGATCCTTGTCCGCAGCGTGAGGGTAAAGGCAGGTCCCCTCAGGCCAGGTTGCGCTCCCTTGTCCTGGTCTCGGTAGCCTGGCGTCACGGAGCGGCTGTACTCGGGGTGTCTGTTGAAGGTGGGGGTGCAGGGCTGGGTGCTGCAGGGGGTGTGAGAGCAAGTTGTGCCGAAGATGACGTCATAGCTTTTGGTTGAAGTCATGGAAATTATGGAGAGCGGCTACGGCGTGTGGACAGGCTCAAGCCTGGGGCTAATGAGGGCACCATCCTCTGGTGGCAAAGCCACGTGCAGGTCCCAGCACAATGACAGCCAAAGGCTATGGTTGTGAGCTTGACCTTATGGTCCGAACCTGTGGCCCCACGTGGCTGAGGGATGTGGGCTGTGGGAGGTGCAGCAAGTAAACAAAGCTTGACCAGGTGCATGTAACTGAGTAGATTCGAAACCGCCAGAACCTTGTAAACATCTTGACACGCTGTGGAATCTGCTATAAAAGACTCGCTTGCAGGCGGTGGCGCTGTCTGTCCATCCGGGAGCAGTGTCCCACCGAGCCCCAGCTGTATTCTCTTGTCTGTCTTTTCTAATCCTTCCCCGCCCCTCTCAGGTTCACCCATGGCCGAGCCGGTTCACCGCAGGAAATAGCATGAGGTTGGAGAGAGGGCAAGAGCGCAGGTGTGTGTGGGGCACGCAGGTAGGAAAGAACCACCTGAGTGAGAAGTGAGGCCACGCAGGTGAGAGCAGAGAATTGCTGGATCTCAGAAGGAGGACAAAGGTAGGTCTGGGGGCTCGGGGGCTGAGCGTCCACCTAGGAACCAGGAGGTTGCGGTTTGACACCTGGTCAGGGCACACGCCCAGGTTGCAGCTCCATCCCCAGTGGGGGGTGTGCAGGAGGCAGCTGATCCATGATTCTCTCTCATCATGGATGTTTCTATCTCTCTCTGTCTCTCTCTCTCCCTTTCTCTCTGAAATCAATAAAAATACATATTTTTAAATCCCTGGGAAAAGTGAAGAACAAATTGTCTCCCCGAAGTCTCGAGCAGTGGGAGTGCTGGCTGGATTCTAAGTCCCGGGCTTACCTTGGCTTTTGTGCTAATAAAGAAGTCATGGCCTCCCGTCACTGGCAGAGCACACCACGGCACAATATTTATTTTGGAATATCTGCTTCCTGTCTGGCTGGGAGTTGGAATTCAAAAATCTTCTAAAAATATTTCAGAACCGCAAAGTGCAGTACGGTTTGAATTAAGAATTTGTCAGGCTTTTCTTTTCTCGACTGTTTGCTCCATTTTTTTAAAGAGCGAAAATGAAAAAGACAACAATGACCTGCTACACAGAACACGCTGACCTCTTAGTCTCGAACGACTGTGCTGGGTGCTGCTGCCCAGAAGCGGGGGCTGGACCGCCCTTCCAGCCCAGGGATCCCCCTCTGTGTCCAGGGAGCTTGAACTCCGGGAACTTGCCACCATGGCTCCACCCAGCCCCTTCCTGGGCTCCACACGTTTTCTTCACGCTTCAGCGTTCCTTTTGTTCTCACAGACGGGCCTGCCAGCCCCCATCGTCCCCTCCCCCCCGCCGGCGATGTTTCTCCCTGTGCAGTGACGGACTAAGCAGCAGAGGGTCACGTGCAGTGGTGCCTGTGCGGTCACAGGCGTGGGACGAGCTCAGAACACTGGCCACAGTGTTTAAGCCGTGGCTAAAGCCTGGTGGCACATGACTCTACCGGAGATACATTCTCCAACGCATAAGCCTTCAGGTGCCAAAGGGCCGGCTCTCCTTCATTCAGAACCTTCCACGGGACAGGTGAACGCAGCCCCATCACCATGGTCTACATTATTCAGGCTCTTCGTGTCACTAAACTAAAGCCACAGCGTTTCGTGGCGTTGGGACATGATCCTTCCTTCTAGCACTGTGGCTCTCACGCACTCTGTGAATGATGTGCGTTCATTTGTTCGGTTACGCTTTCCATTGCTGCTGGTGGTGTGTGTGTGTGTGTGTGTGTGTGTGTGTGCGTGCGTGCGTGCGTGCGTGTTGAGCAAGAGAGATAGACCTGTTGGTTGACCTTCAGTCTCCGTTAAACCTTTGCCAAGAGTCCCCACTCTGCGTCCACTGGAGATCCGCTGCCATGCCACCTGCCACTCTCCCGCTGCAGGAGCGGGACCACGGACATGCTTTGGGCCGAAGAGGGCACTCGACCACAGTGGCTGTGGTGACCAGGTCTCAGGTGGGCCTGTGTCTAAGCCAGCAGTGAATCTCAGGACTTTTTTTAAAAAAATGTTTCTATTGATTTCAGAGAGGAAGGGGGAGGGAGAGAGAGATAGAAGCATCAGTGATGAGAGAGAATCATGCATCGGCTGCCACTGGTGATCGAGCCCACCACCCCGGCGTGTGCCCGTGACCGGAATTGAGCACACCCCCCACTGGGGATCAAGCCCACCACCCCGGCGTGTGCCCGTGACCGGAATTGAACCCTGACCTGGTTCATAGGTCAACGCTCAACCACGGAGCCACGCCGGCCGGGCACATCTCAGGACTTTTGCAGGCACGTCCGGAACACGGTTCTCCCTTCTGCGTAGTGTGGGTGGAGGGTCAGACCCGTCGCGGCTCCTTCCTGCGGTGTCGGATGCGAGCCTCGGAAGGAATCCACCAAAGAAGGGGAAACTTAACTCTTAAGGGAAGTTTAACCCTGACTGAGCCGCACCCGCGCCACGCGCGCAGGAGCAGGTTCCCTTGGCTGGGACGGCGTTGGAACTAAGCTTTACCTGTGACTGAAACAGTCCTGACACATTCTTTTTTCTAATCCTTGCCCAAGGGTACGGTTTTTATTGCTGTTTAGAGTGGGAGGGAGGGAGAGAGAAACATCAATTGGTTGCCTCTCTTAGGAGCCCCGCCTGACCGGGGATCGGGCCTGCAGGCTTTTGGGGTACCTGACGATGCTCCGGCCACCACGCCACCCAGCCAGGCCCCCGACACTCATTTTTAAAAGCGGCTGTGGCCTCCCTCAGGAACCGCATCTGCCCGAACCCGCTGGCTCCGGAGATTAAGGGGAAGGGTGGAGAGAGGAGCCCTCAACCCCACTGTGAAGGTGGATTCCTGGGGACACCCTGATGCCTAAGTGCCAGGCGCGGTTGTAGACCCTCGGCGACAGATGGCGCTACTGTGCGTCAGAATCCTTCGCACTCAGTGCAACCCAAGCAGGAGCGGGTCAGCTCTGCTGGCCACCAGCAGAGGGCAGTAGTAACCTTTTATTATTATTATTATTAT